TCTATTTTTGTTGTTTAATGCTACTTTTAGCTACTGTTTTATTGTATTGAGAAATATTTTTTACCTGTAGCTAATTTCTGCTAAGTTTACCTTTTAGTTATTAATACTTAACTTTAAGCTTTTAGCATTTTGCTAACATTCTGTTATATTTAGCTTCTATGTGGAATTTTACTACTTTTAGGTAGCGTTTGCTAAATTTAGCTTTAAGCTAAGCTTTCATTTAGCCATGTTTGTTTTTTAGCTGTCACATTGCTACGTTTAGCTTTCAGCTACCATTTTACAACTTTTAGTTTTTAACTACGGCTTTGCTAATTTTAGCTAATGTTTTGCTAATTTTAGCTTTTATGCTGCTTTTGGCTTTTAGCAACTGTTTAACTACTTTTTTTGGCTACAATTACACACATTTAGTTTTTTTTACCATTTTCTCTTCACTTTCTAAAAATTCTATCAGCTTATATTGTTTAACTTTTTCATATCTGTTTTTGATCATTTCAATCCTGTTTTGCTTTTTTTAAAACTTTGTTGATTTTCAGCACCATTAATTAATTCAATTAAAATATAATACACTTCCCTTAAGAATGTGAAATAAATGCAAGCTTTTATCAGACTGTCCTAAATGTAAATAAGCTTTAGTTCCATTTTTGATTATTTTCTTTGCTAGTTTAAATAACAAAAATAACTTCATGGTTTAAGATAAAACATAAACATATTTTGTAGAGAAATAATTATCATCATCTATTAAAGTGGCTTATGCCTTCTTGTGCGATCAGAGGAATATTATTTCAATAAAGTGCATTACAGCAGAGAGGCCCTAATGAGAAAAACACTTTTAGTGTCTCATACGAACACAAACAAAATAAAATGTATGGCTCTGTTTAAAATTTATATTTTAAAGTATAAAAATGTGTCTTATATGCAGATTTGTAATGTAACTAACTACAAATACTTTGTTACTGTACTTAAATATAATTTTTGGGTATCTGTACTTTACTTGAGTAATTATTTTTCAGTGTACTTTTTACACAATAATTTGTACTTTCTACTCACTACATTTTTTAAGAAGGTAAGAAGTAGAAAGTCGTTACTCCTGTTTTATTCCAAGTTGTTATTACTTTAAAAAAATACTATCCTGATAAATTGTGTCTCCTGGACAGAGTGAATTTAATTGTGGTCGGATGAGAAGTATAAATATATACCATTGTGACACACTATTAGCTTGTACACAACCCATCACAGCTGCACGCCGTTAGAAAAAATATTTTTGAGAAGTCCCCTCCCAATAAATGTCATTTTGGAAAATCTAACTGCTCACTTTTACTCAGTACTTTTACTTTTAATACTTAAGTAGATTTTGTGTCAGAAATTTA